GTGACCAAAACGAAAGCCGTCAACCACTGTGTTGGAGCTCCGCTCTCAGCTCATAGCCAGACCAAAAAACGAGTAATTGCCCATCTTTCACCGGTCAGCACGTCATACCCAAAACACACATCCCACGACTCATTGCTACGAACGGCAAAACTTCCCTGCATGTACATCACAGCACATGGTCACCTGAACAAGCTTGCCGAGCTACGGCTATGTCACGCATTATAATTAAAAATTGGCTGTATTCAGAAATTACCGACGCCGAAGTAGTAATACATGGTATGTCCTTCATTCGAAACGATCGCCGCTGCAGGACAGCAAGGTAATTATATACTATCGCAATGACCTGCAGTGTGAGCCAGGGGAACATTCGGAAATACTACTCAGAGACTCGCTCTGATGTAGCCTGCGACAAAGGCGCAACGATACCTGCTTTTTGGCAGTCGCTTAGCGCCCCCACTAATGTCTACTCCGTCTGACACTAGTATTAAGGAGGGTACATCGACGAGGATACAGCATGTTCTTATCTCCGGAGAGTTCAATGTTCACGGTTCGGAAATTCCGGCTTTTCTCAACGAACAATTCAAGACAGACCTATAAGACCTTATTGCATTTAGCCATGTCAGTTCGCCCACCAAATTCAGAACGGGAAATAAGACATTCGTGCTGGACTAAACAGGCCCACACTAGGAGCCCACCTCAACGAAAAAAACCGAAACAAAGTGAAGAAGGGTGTATAAAATCAAGAATATCACAGCTGGAGAGCCCACAGGTGCGGGCGAGTTTACACCAAAGATTGTATACGACTTCTGTCATGTTATGTCCAAACTATCCATATGAACATAGTGAGTTATTTCGAACAATCACCACGACGACATACTCACAGAACTTGTTGGGGATGCCATTCGGGATTTTTTCGGACAAGTGCTCCACTGATACTGTATGGACGGAGTTTATTTGCAAATTCAACAATCTGATTAAGTCCGCATCATTAGGAGCGGAACTCGAAAACGCATAGCGTTAAGAGACGCAGTGTGGCATGTGTATAGGGCAAACTATAACCCTGACAACTGGAGCAACTTTGTGATGCATCGTAATCACTGTACCACACTTGACCGTGAGGAAAAATTAATACACCAACAGAGCCTAGAGGAATGGTTTTGCTAACAACAAGCTTCTGTACTGGTATGTGAATATACGACGGAATGTGAAACGTGGTGTTCCCCCATTTGCCTCAGAACATGAATGTGCTTAAGCTGCAGAGGTTGAAGCCAAATTTCTGTGACTGCAAAATACTACAATATTTCGATGCGCCACCAGCATATGTCACATACCAGGTCCATTCCTGCAGACGCCAATATTCACACACAGCACTTTTAGTTCTGCGACTGTTTTGCGGAAGATAATATCGTTGCGTCCTCATAGTTCCCCTGGTATTGACAACATTCCACCAAAAACCCTTCAAGTGACAGTTATGAGGATAACGAAGCCATTAACTCTCTGTTTCCAAAGCTGCTTGAATGAACAGCAGGTCCTCAACATGTGGAAACAGGAATCATCAACCCAATTTTCAAGGGTGGTAGCGGTTAGGACCCCGTCCACTATCGCTCAGTGATTCTCCTACCGGTGCTCTTAAAGTTGTTGGAGTCTATCATAGCTGAAGCATTAATCTTATCTGATATCACAGCACAGGAACAACGCGGAGTTCAACAGCATCCCACAAGTACCATAAATCTGGTGATTGCCTGTGGCAGAGAGACCGAAATAGCCGAGGGTGTGACCGGCACTGATGTCATCTACATCCACTTTGGTGAAACCTTCGACAGCTTAGATCAGCGCATACTTCTCCAAAAGCTGCTTGCCCACGGAATTAGGGACCTGGATCTCGGAGGGATCGGAAAATTCCTCCTTTAGCGGCGGCTCCAGGTTCGGGTTCGGGGTTCATTTTCTGTTCCTATCGACGTGGACTGCGGTGTACCACAGGGATCGGTGTTAGGGCCGCACCTATTCCTGCTCTTCATCAACGACATCGCGTGTATCATGGAGTTGCATTTCCTGCTTTTCGCTGATATCAAGATTTGGCGGGCGGGCGGTTGTGAGGATGACCACGTTGTGTTTTGACTTTGAATGGTAAAAGCCAAATCTAATGCCGATTAATGCGGACAAGTACAATAGTGTGCGTGTGACGTCACAAACTCGTTTCCGTAGATAAGATGCATACCACATGTTTAACAGCGCCTCACAGGAGCACGATCTTGGGGTGGTGATGCAAGACGACCTCGGCTGTTCGGCACAGTCTTGGTAGGCGTCCAAAACAACTTACCAATAGGTTGCTCTCTTACGGAGGGCGTTGGGGAGGTTCGACCCCTCCATCTTCCCCCAAATGCGCAATGCGCAGGTAAGGCTTAGCGTGGAGTACATGATACAGACCTGAAACCCTGGCTAAAACGCGAGCTGGTTGTACTGGAAACCGCACAGCGAAGGGCATCCAAAAATATGAAAGGATTACTCCACCTGCAATGCCATCTGTGACTGAAAACTTAAGAGTGTACTGGTGAAACTTATCGCCATCTACGGGTCGACCTCATTCGGGTTTAACAGATCCTGAAATACCCCGATCACGATTGCTGCTACCTGCAAAATCTTCACCGCAACACAAATTTGGGGCTCACCGGCTGAAACAGGCTGCAAATTACAGTTGGCTGGAATGCCGCTTGAACTATTTTTCTCTTCGAATTTTTACCCCTGGAACGCCGTTCCAAAGTGGCCATTTCTACGCTTACGCTACCACAGTTTTAAACATGTGTCGTCGATGAATTACAAAACCTGCATTATCTGATCTGATTTCTGTTCACTTAGTGAGAACTAGACGCATAAAAATCTAGTGCTGTCCAGCCCACACGAAATCGATGTAAACCGATACACATGTGCGTTAACGAACTTGAGTTAC